CCCTTAACTCTAGCTCGAAGAGGCGGCTTAGCCAAGATCTTGCCCGATGAGTTCCGGGGATTCAACTTCGGTAAAGTATTTGGAATCATTGCGATTATAGTAATACCGAGTAACGGCTTTGATTACAACCGTTGATGGTAGGCCCACCGGACAGAGGCAAGGTCTTAAATAACTCTCGGTATCCCCGGCTATCAGGACGAAATCCTAACTGGGGATGCAATATTGAATCAGATAATTCAGCAGAAAATCTGCTCGATCAGTAGATAGTGGTACACTTCCGAAATCCGAGAAAAGTGTCCATCAAGTTTCCAAAAGTAAATGAAAAATACAAAAATATATCACTCGGCGATCAAGTTCCAAAACGCGAAAAGTGAAATAAATTTATTTAAGGACTAGATCCGTTTCAGAAGAAATGAAAATAAATGATTTGGAGACTAAGTTTAAAAGAATGAAATAGATCTACCTGAAACAAAGTTTGTTACGGAATGAATAAAAATAATTCTTTCAGAGATTAAGTCCGAAAATGCAAAGATTGAAATAAATCGGTTGAGAAGCTAAGTTATTTACGGAATAAATGAGAATAAATTTGTAGCTCGTAAGAGTCGGGAAGATAGAAACTGAAAGTCCTCTCGAGCGCTGTTCGATATGTACTCTAGCACGGACCATGTAGAGATCCTGCTCAATATACGGACCATGAAGAGAATCGCGCAGTGGTTTTCAATTCACGGCTCTTTAGCACGGACCATGGAGAAAACCTCAGGTATTCTCAATTCTCGGTTTCTGAATTTTTAATCTTGCAAATTCGTTATTTCACAATCAAATTGTGAATTTTATAACAAAATTAAGCTGTTCGCAATATTGTTAACTTACTTTTTATAATTACAAATTTCAACTATAGCTGTTGATAAATATTATCTTTATGCGGCGCAAATTTAATTAGCCATTTAAAATATTTAAACGGGTCTTGTTTAAATAAACAACGGTCCAAAATGACATTGCATAGTATCCTTAATTAATAAAATAATTACTCGTCTCAGAAGAATGCTTAATTGAAAATAATTCTTCTTTCAGATTTCTAAGGATGGTAAATTTATAATAAAGCAAAGGGACTTGTTCCAGATTCGCTTAATTAACAAATAAATCATTCCCTTCAGGAATCGTTTTAACTAAAAGTGATCATGATCATTGGATTATGATTAAACCGTGGAAAATATATTTTGTTAAATCGTATGATACAGTAAATTTGGAAGAAAAAATGGTTGGATTAACCAAAAGTTAATAGTAAAATACATAAAATATTGTTAAATTATTAACAATAAAAAATTTACAAAATTCTATCATGTTTTTGATTTGTGTGTTTGTGTGTGGTTTGCCACTGATTCTAGCTTTTAAAGTCTTGTTACGTGCCATTTTTTACTTCATTTTATTTATTATATATGTAGAAAATTTTATCGACCCCGGTGAGATTTGAACTTAAGTCCTTCTTGGCTCTTGAATCGTCTCTTGAATCACTCATCTTACCACTGCGCCACTGCTACTCATTATCAGAAACGACTTTTAATAGACACATCTTGTATACTATGATTACGCAATTATATTTATGTTCAATATTATCATAATTTATAGTAAATCATTTATATGGTTGACCAAATCATACATATATTGTAATTTTGATAACAATTACTATACATATGATGTTCCTAACTATATTTTTTTACCATACGTTTATAACTTTAATTATTATAATTTATAGTAAACAATTTAAATAGTTCTCGAAATCATTATAATTTTTAGTAAAAAATTTAAATAGTTCTTGGGACTATACATATATTGATTATATTATTATTATTACTGTTAAATTTACTATAACTATGATTATTTTGACTATAATTGTTTTACTATGAAATTATAGTTAATTTAATCATCGAATTTTCTATCAGTGCAACTTCCATATGATGCACATTGGATAATACTAATACTAATGTTGATAGGTACTGTAATTTTCATCCTCCGTTCAGCCGGCCTTCCCACCACGTGAAAGCTAAATGAATAGCTCAGAACTAGGAACTATTTATGATTTTTCGATCCCCGCTAATCAAAATTTTTGAGCTCGTTTCTCTGAGTAGAAATTTTGATTTGTAGGTGGGAGGGTTTACTCAGCCCCCCCCCCCACCTCTTAAAATTGAACGGAACGGAATCGGGATAAAAGCTGAATTAAGAGTTAATTAGGAGCTCTCAAACTAGCATAATTTTGATTTTTGAGCTCTATCCCTTATCCTCGTAACAATCCTTAAACAGTTTACGCTCAAGAGATAACTCGTAAAAATAAGAACTTAATTCATTACAACCTTCATTAATATTATTCGATTAATATGTTCACAAAATATGTAACCTATGATTTTTTAACTGCAAATCTTTGGCAGGAAAACCATCTTTTACTGTCCAAGTTCAAGAGAAAACTATACTTAGAAACCAATAAATGAGGCACCGCTCGCCTGGAAATATTCTCTACATTTGTAAGATGACGAAATATGTATATTTCGATTTATGAGCTGCTACCCCTTTGTAAGAACACCACTTTTTATGGCAGAGACGCAAGAGTAAACTATCTTCAAAAATTGATAAATGGGATATTTCTTCTCAGTAAATATTTCCTCGACTTATGAACTCCCGAGATATCTATATTATGATTTATCAGCTGCTACCCCTTGGCAGGAACACCACCCCTTATGCCACAGGCGCAAGAATGAACTATCTTCAGAAATCTATACCCTACTGAAAAATTTCTATTGAGATCACAATTGAATTCCCAATTGAATTCTCAATTAAATTCTCAATTGAATTCTCAGTTGAGGTTTCCGCAAAATTTCGCATGTAAGATCTCAATTGAGATATTTGTATCTGATGGAAATAATTCATTGAAAATATAATGAACTTTTGCTGAAATATGTTTGAAAAGCATTCACAATTTTGACCCAATTTCATTAAAATTTCATTATAATTTCATTAATATTTCGATAATATTTTATTAAGAGAGTAGAAAAATTCAGTGAAAAATTATTATTAATTAAAATATTTAGAAAAGTA